ATAAAATTTTTTGTTGTAAAACTTTTTCAAGCTGTTCCCTTTTTATTGCACTTTATAGTTCAAAGCCTAATTAAGCTTCGGATGATGAAACAAAGTAAAAACTCCCTGGCTTGTACGAGCTTTAAATGACTTAAGGTTATTGAAAACGAGATCAAAGTTCACAAGCAGACTTGAAAGTTTCACAAAGTTTTGGTACTTGTCAGCGATACAATCAATCAGGATAATTAATTTCCTTAATCGCTTACTTGAAATTAAAAAGGAAGTGTCAGAACAAACTACAGTCACCCTCACAAAAAATAGTAAACACTAGACGATGTTTGATTAATTCGAACGAAGAAAACACACAAAACAAAGCCAGATTTCAGCCATTTCAGACCTCAATTTTAACCCCCTCTGATCCCTTCTTTGAGCCATATTCCATATAGAAATTGTGCAGAAATTATACTTGGCTTTTCCAAACCGGTTTCGCCTAGATTAGCTTGCGAAATTCGTGGCTGATCTATAAACAGACTGATAAAGAGACTTATATGTAGATTCTGTACAATAAAGAGCGGAAATTCTATCCCAGGACTAGTTTTAACTGAATTTTAGTTAGTGCAAATAAGTGCAATAAAAACATCCTATAAAATATATTATTTATATAAATATATCAAGGGACGAATGACGTAACTTAATCAGCTAATCTGGTTAAATAAATTAGTCTGGGCACTGGGGCAAACAGGTCCGATGATTAATGTGCTGCCATTCATTAGACCAATTCAATATTGGTAACAGTACGGGTGAACTACCTGGCCATGACCAGGGTGGTTATAGGCTGGTGGAGTACTGCGTTCTAAAATGTTGAAGAGATACATTTGAATATTACAAATGTTCTGATAATTTCCAGTTCAGATAATTTCTAGCTCGAAGCAGATAATGGCAAATAATGGCAAGTAAAGATGAATACTGACTAAGAACTAAGCAGAATACTTGATAAAATTCTAAGTCAACGATTACAAGTTGCATTGATTAAATCATTCTGAAATAACAGACAATCAAGAATCAAGACGGACGATAATATTGTTGATGTAAATTAGGGAGTGTAGTGTATAATGTGGACTGATAAATAGACACTAATTATGACCCCACAGCTCTATTCAAATACAAGAACTAGGAAATTCTTTCACCTCATCGTAGATACAGATTATACGATAAGAACTGTGATGTATAATCAACACTTAAACGGATGTTCTATACATTATACTGCATCTACAGTTTTAATGACTCTAAAAATATCTAATAGAAATAAAGTATTAGAATCACCTCACATCAATTGATTTGCAGGATGTAATTACGTATCAAACGCGCTCGCGGCGGAATATTCTAGACTCATAAGTACAAGACCCATAGGCGGAAAACACATTAATATTGCATGCACTAGGTAGCAGTAAAAAGCAAATTCAGCGCGGCACACAGCATTCACTGTGTCATAAATGTGAAACGCGAGATTCTAATTTCACGTATTGTAACTTTAATATCTGAAATACTAACTTATCGAGAGCTATATATAGCTTGGACATTATAAACATAAATAAGTTCGACATGTCTAGTTTTGCTTTGGTGAGATTTATAACTAACGTTTGATCAAATTCTGCTTTCCATGCCAAATTTGGCTCCAAATAATGGCAAATAATGGCAAGTAAAGATGTATACTGACTAAGAACTAAGCAGAATACTTGATAAAATTCTAAGTCAACGATTACAAGTTGCATTGATTAAATCATTCTGAAATAACAGACAATCAAGAATCAAGACGGACGATAATATTGTTGGTGTAAATTAGGGTGTGCAGTGTATAATGTGGACTGATAAATAGAGAATCATGGCGACACAGCTCTATTCAAATTTAACAACCAGGAAATTCTTTCACCTTATCGCAGATACAGATTATACGATAAGGACTGTGATGTATAATCATTACTTAAACGGATGTTCTATACATTATACTGCATCTACAGTTTTAATGACTCTAAAAATATCTAATAGAAATAAAGTATTAGAATCACCTCACATCAATTGATTTGCAGGATGTAATTACGTATCAAACGCGCTCGCGGCGGAATATTCTAGACTCATAAGTACAAGACCCATAGGCGGAAAACACATTAATATTGCATGCACTAGGTAGCAGTAAAAAGCAAATTCAGCGCGGCACACAGCATTCACTGTGTCATAAATGTGAAACGCGAGATTCTAATTTCACATATTGTAACTTTAATATCTGAAATACTAACTTATCGAGAGCTATATATAGCTTGGACATTATAAACATAAATAAGTTCGACATGTCTAGTTTTGCTTTGGTGAGATTTATAACTAACGTTTGATCAAATTCTGCTTTCCCGGCCAAATTTGGCTCCAAAGAAAGTGTGATAAAACATTAATCACATGCCTTCTCATGCGATATCAACATTTTCAAAACTCGGCAAGCCTCGTGATTGAAAATGTCGATATAACCCTCGGCAAGCCTCGGGAAATATCGAAACTTTCGCTAACTCGGCAAGCCTCGTGGGCGAAAGTTTTGATATCGCATGAGAAGGCATGTGATAAATGTATAATATATGTATCTATATTTTTTGAGGTCAGAAAGGAAAATTTAGTGTCTTATAGGTCACTGTCAAAATCGTGCATTATTTTTAATATTAAAACGTTCGACTTAGCACATCATATAAAGCTGAGAAACGTTTTATCGATTTATGATTTCGAACAAGAACTGAAGGGTGGTTTCTGGGATGCTTTCTAATGATGATTGTTTAAGTTATCACCGCATTATCCTTTTTAACTTTTAAGGGAAATGACCCCTCTTCAATCTTCCCCGCTAGTCGTATTTCATCGCCTACGTTGGTATTCTATATATTTAGTTAACTTTTTATGCCGTGTTCTTCCAAATCCGAACAGAACCAAGTCTTCCAAATTTGAAGATTTCACTTCAAATCCTGGTATCGTACAAGTCATTGCAATCATGGTCTGCTTTAACATAAGTCCTAGAAAACTGGCCACCAACATGATCACTGATCAGTTGCCAAACGGACTAGCGTTAGAGATCATGCACTAAACACCATGGTAAGTAAACACGAGACAATACGTATTGTGTTTCAGAATCTAAATACCATGCTTAAATAGTTCCGTTAATAGTTTTCATGCATTGTTTTGTTGTTGTTTACACATGTGTTTTGGTCAGGTCTGAATTTTTTTGTTCAACTTCAGGGAGCAGGCTTGCCACATAGGTCCAGGAGTTCCGAAAGTTTAGGCAGGGTGCTAGGTTGTCGTACAGATAATATAATATGTCCGTAAAATTTCCTCGCATATTATATTATCTGCCGCCTTTCCGGATGTGGGTTCACTTCAAATTCATTTCAATCCACATAACACTCAGAGATAGTCTAGTTCTACATTAGTACAAGAGATCTGGGGACTAAATAATCTACACGTTTCAATCTACCATGCGTTCCGTGTGAAACCAAGTGCAGCACTTTTACAATTTGGTGAGCTGGTGGTGGGGACTGGCAGCAATTACCAAATCAGTAACCAAATCAGTAACCAAATCAGTAACCAAATCAGTAACCAAAGTCCAAATCAATAACCAAAAAGCATAAGAATGTAGATGACAGTGCAAAATTGCACTACCAACTACTGTACAAAGTGCAAGCTCATCCAACCACGCACCTCGTAAAGTAAGATAACAATTAGAAAATTGGCAGAAAATAATTGCATATTTGCAACAGTTTCTGGTGGTCGCGCTAAACGATGTTTCTAAAACTCAAGATATATCAGAGATATGATTAATATTCATAATAGGTATCATAATTACTGATGTGGTTATCGTGGTTACTCGACATACCTCCCGGAGTCCAGCACAGTAAAGGGCTGACTGGATAGAAAAGTATTCAAGCGCTGTTATAAGTGTTACAAATGACTAGGAAATAGCGATGGTTAATCACAGGATTGAATGCGGGTGGAGACCATTAAGATTATTTTCTGTCTAGCCTCCTATATGATGTCATTTGCTTTGTTATCGGCCGTTACGTTCTATGTTCTTCTTGTTTATACGAGATTGACGCGACCAGTCTTCAGTTATCCTAAAGTTTTTAAGGCTTTATTTGCATCGTTGTTTCTGGTTTGCTTGCCGAAAAAGTGAACGACTCATGTGTCATGATGTTGCGTAATGATTTTCTTGCAAGGAATGCCATGAGAAATGAGAAGTAGTATCACATTACGTTTTACTGAGTTGAAACAACAGATGAGCTGCTGGAGCTGCAGTTCATTGTCTTTATTAGTATTGTGCTGCTGGAGCTGCAGTTCATAGTCTTTATTAGTATTGTGCTTTGGTTTCACGAGGATTGATATTTTCATCATCATATGGTATTTTAGTTGCTTTAAGTTAAAGTTAAATCACTATAGTAGTTAGGGACAAGGATCGACCGGGACCGCTTTTTTGCCGGGACCGGGACTGGAAAAAAGTTTTAGTTACTTAAAGTTAAATGACTATAGTTTCACCTTGCCTCTAACTTACCGATTAACTAGAGCTAGTGCAGCCACAACAGCAGAAGAAACATGCCGAAACCACTCTACCACATTTACTCGGGAATGAAAGAAAGGTAATTATGCACATTGATTATGCACATTATCAGCAAATAAGCTGATGTAAATAATTGTAAACAGGAAAATTTTGCAGACTGTTCCAATCTTGGTTACAGTTAAAACGAACTCAAACTGATAGGATATGAAACATGGTCATTCACACAATACTGATTACTGTCTATACAATAACTGATACATGATAACTTATCTAGACATGCACATTATACAACGAGTACTCTTCCATGATACCTCAGGAATACCGTTAAGTGTGACTTCCTAATAATTGGCTATTGATTAACGACACCTTGACCTGTATTCGATATTGTGCAGAGGATGGGCCACGTTGATATACAAATATACATGATATTGACGTAGTTGTCACTTGCAAATGCAGCTTTTTGCCGGACGTTCTGTCTAATTGCTTAGTGATGTAGTGTACTCTCTGTGCAAGATGTGTGCCTACTCATGGGCCAGTTTTGAATTTAAACCGGATTTTATCTTTTCCGGATTATTTTTGTTCCCGATGGCATCTATTCCGAATAATATCTTGTTATGCCATCTTTGCCGTCCCGATTTCTTTCGTGGGCCGATTTGGCTTAGCATAATCAATAGTAACGGCAAAGATGACCTAATAATTATTAATACAAAGATGAAGTCCTTCAAAATATAAGAATTAGAAACATTTATAATATTCCTGGTATGTTTAAGATAGTTGACAGCACGTTTCTTGGGCGGATCTCAACAGAGAAATTATAGAGCCAGAGTTACCAAAATATCTAGTTGTTAAATAGACATGGTCCATGAGTAATATATAAAGATATAAGGTAGTTTTATAGTTTCGTGGGAAACCTTGGTCGATAGGTTTTAAATCTTAATGCTTCTAGCGTATAACAGGGCGAAGAATTGTGCAGCTGAACCCGTTTGAATGCAATTATTGAGAGTACATTTATAAATCCCACAGGCACATACCTCAAATAGAAACTGTGATATTTTTTCTATCCGAATTATCTTAGCCTAGCAGTCGACTCCTATTCTTGATTCTACAAACGCACATACGCTTCAATTGCTTACGTTGTTACTTTACATCCTTCGCACTTCGCCTATCGTTTGTTGAAGTACCAACCTATTCGTTAATATTTTACCTATGAAATCTCTTTTAAATAATAAACTTACTTTTCAAATTTCATCCACTACACGGACTTATGTTGTGTTGACTTTTTCTGCCTCTTCAAACTTCTACTTGTACGTGCCTTCCGGTATATAGTCGACACAATATGGTCTACAACATATGATAATGTATACCACCGTTTGCAAAAGTACAGTTGACACTAGACACACTTTGAATATTTAGACACGAATCTATGCAGCGAGAAGACGTAATAGTAAGACGTTGATTGAGGAAATCGCATATGCTGCTCGCGAAACTGCAATTACTCCAATTTCCTAGACATTCGTAGTCGCACTCTGCTCGTTATCATCGATCCTATTTTGTGCATATTATAGACTCGTCAGTCGTCATGTATTACTGTTTGAAGGGATTGTAAGTATATTTCATAAAACTGCAAATTAACTAATAATTTCTGTTTATGTGGCATTATAGTGACGACTTGACAGACTTAAGGTATTTAGCCTCGAACCGCCAATTGTGGAGAAATTTATTTTGAATTTGATTAGTTCGATAATTTCAGTTTTAAGTTCCATTTTTTGCATTTATAGTAAGTTTTCAGTTCTGCAAGTCTTTTAAGGGGGCATACACCAAAACAGTGGTTTGTGCCGTCCAGACCAAATGACTTCATAGGCAATTCAGTGACCTTCTAGCGCACCGTTTCCACACCAAAAAAAATTATTTTGAGAATACCCATTTTTGTAATCGAGCATTTCCTGGTTAAGAGTGCAATTTTCGGAAAAAATTATTTTGTGGTTGAGACGCTATAAGTTAATCATTTCTTGCGGTATCGGGTTGAAATTTTGCTCGCCGTTTGTTCACATCTATGTCAAGGTGTGTGTAAAATCTTGATATCGTATCTAAAAAGGCTGGTGTGTTATGAATTTTTAAAGTCAAAAAGCTAAAATTGTCCTTTTCAGGCTTATTTTAACAAAAAGTCAGTCAGGGAAGATCGGATTATTTGATGCTTGACATCAAATTGTTCTCTGAATTCTGGCGCAGTTTTTGATGCCCTCAAAAATGTTTTTACTCATTCACCTTCTGATCTATTGGACCTCAAAGCCAAACAACAAATTTAGGCACATTTTTCGTTTTTAATATTTACTGATTTTTCTAAAATTTTGATAGGAATGTGCTAGTGACTTTTTGAAGGGTGCAAAATAACCGCAACTAGGACATTTATATATGAGTTATGAACAACAAAACACCCTTAAATGCTTCCCTTTGAAGTTATGGGAGAAAATGTGATTTTTTATCTGCAAAGCCGAAAATCACATTTTCTCCCATAACTTCAAAGGGAAGCAATTTTAGAAAAATCAGTAAATATTAAAAACGAAAAATGTGCCTAAATTTGTTGTTTGGCTTTGAGGTCCAATAGATCAGAAGGTGAATGAGTAAAAACATTTTTGAGGGCATCAAAAACTGCGCCAGAATTCAGAGAACAATTTGATGTCAAGCATCAAATAATCCGATCTTCCCTGACTGACTTTTTGTTAAAATAAGCCTGAAAAGGACAATTTTAGCTTTTTGACTATAAAAATTCATAACACACCACCTTTTTTAGATACGATATCAAGATTTTACACACACCTTGACATAGATGTGAACAAACGGCGAGCAAAATTTCAACCCGATACCGCAAGAAATGATTAACTTATAGCGTCTCAACCACAAAATAATTTTTTCCGAAAATTGCACTCTTAACCAGGAAATGCTCGATTACAAAAATGGGTATTCTCAAAATAATTTTTTTTGGTGTGGAAACGGTGCGCTAGAAGGTCACTGAACTGCCTATGAAGTCATTTGGTCTGGACAGATTTGGTGTATGCCCCCTTAAGTAGACTTATCAGGTCTTTAGGATGTTCTTAGTAACTACTTTGGATTTGTGTAAAGTTTGATAATAATAATAATTATGTGGCATTAGTTTTACAGTTGGCTTCTATGTCTAAGATCTATTTCTAACGATATCACTTGGTAACTTAAATTAAAATAAATATTCAAACTTTATTCGAATTGCGCCAGACCTGACTACATGGACTTGCCACAAATTCTTCTCCTTGACGCTCAAGTTTCATCATTATCCTCCCTCAGGCACGAGCGAGCCAGATCAGCGAGGGCAGCAGTAGCAGCTACTGATGCAGCGGAAGCAGCACTTATTAAAGAGAAAGATGTAGTGGTCAATGCTAAATGTAAGTCAATAAAACAACTCTCACTCAGTTATTAAATTAAATTTTATCGAACCTTACTTATCATGCAGGGTGGCTAAGAATTATATTTATATTTCGAGATCAAGGTCAGAAGATCATACAGCTCTCAATGCTCAAGATATTGATCGGCATGAAACTTTGAAACAAATGTTGCATATTTTGATCTCGAATTTTAAACCCCGACAAAACTTAAATATTGAGGCCAGTTTAAACAACAACTGTTCCCCTTCCAGCGATCCTCGCCTCCAAAGTAGCCCCGTACGTGTTGATAATACACACCGGCACAAACAACCCTGCCCTGGATAAGATTGAGAAATGGGAGGATGGCAGGATGAGCTTCATTCTCAACCCTCAGACCACACAGTAAGTACAAATTGTTTTTGCTCACTGCGAGTAATATGGTTCAACTTATTTCAGTTTAGTTCTTTGCTCTATTACCATGGAGATGATGTTCGCTAACAATTCAAAGACTAAACCCCAAAATACTCGGAATATATGGCGTGTGGTGATGCAAGCCTAGTCGATCCTTGCCAAGTGCCAATAATAAATACTTGAGGATAAGGATTTATCGTTCCCTAGAGTCGGCAAAAAATTTGACATTCATATCAACTCCATTAGACATATTTGACATTTGCGCAAACTCATGGTTTTGCGTTAACGATTCCGGTCGAGTCGCTAACGATTCAGACACATAGCAAGAATCACTACAATTTATTAAATGTTTTATCATTACAAACCTCTCACAGTCTCACTCATTCAAATAACTCATCACGTCAACAATGCTACTCATAAATAATTTTCATATCCAGATATGACATCAAATGATTCAGCTAAAATTGTAATCCCAATATTATAATTTACCCGATAATATTTGCTCTTAGGTGTGGTACTAACATGTCTATCAAATCAGAACATGGTTAACAGGTTAATGGGAGACGTATCCGAGCTCTAACATACCTTAAATTCCAGGGCCTCCCCACTCTTCCACGTAAAGGAGCTCTTCTCAGCCAACAGGGAGTCTCACATCAGAGTCAGCAAGTATCTCCCAGACTTTGTGGGTATCCCGGAACAGCTAAAGATTTCTGTGGAAAGTAATAAGCTGGAGATCATTAAGGAGGCCCTGTACATAAGGGAGATCACAATACTGTACAAACACAAGTTTTACAGGTACAATATGTTTTACCAGATACCAGAAAAGTGTCTTAACTTTGTTATAACTTTTAATTGGATAACTTTGTGCTAAGCTCAGATCAGCTTTACTGCCAACAAACCGTCTTTGGTGAACTCTTACAATTGATAATTATAAATCACATGGGTTAAAACTATACATACGCAATACGCATGATAAGTTTAAACAATGCTTTGCCCCCAATTATTAAGAAACTTGACGAACCTGTCATGGAATTCATAAACATTTCAACACCTTCCAAGGTGTTTCGAGGCTCCGTTTATAAGATACCGATTCTAATGGCGGGTCGTTAGGTCATCAGGGAGAAACCCATGAAAATAAGTTTTAAATTTGAAATCACCCCTTGCCTAGCTTTCACTTGCCCAGTTTCCGGCCGTGCATGGTTGCGTCTAAACGAGCACAGCCATGCTGTGAATGACTACAGTCTCCCACTCAAATGTTCCACAGAATCTCAGTATATGGCTCCATGTTCTCACTGGTTCCCCGTTTAAAACCCCCTCTTCCAACAGGTTTCCTTGCACTAACTCCGTCTTCCCACTGCTTCCTTGTACTAACTCCGTCTTCCCACTGCTTCCTTGCACTAACTCCGTCTTACCACCGCTTCCTTGCACTAACTCCGTCTTTCCACAGGTTCCCAGTAAATGACTACCTGTTCCCCCACAACCCCCTACTGATGGACCCGCAGGATGTGTACGATGGGTGTCCTCCATATGTCATCTCCAAGTGTGGTAAAGGTACTTTCCTGGCGAATGAGACGGATCCAGCAGTACTGGCTGCTAGAAGTGAGTTTATCAAGGATCACACCAATATACCCTGGCTACTATTTACGTATGACTCGTGTGACTCGTGTGACGTGTTACTATATTAGAACTCATGATATATCTAAATTGAAATTGTAACAGCTATAAGGTATGACAATCTTAAACAGATTCGCTTTCAATACTTTACTTCTCAGTGAAAGAGCTTGAGTTGAGAAGAAAGCATCTGGACTGGGCCCCGAACAATGGACCTCATGTTATTCCGGGGTGCACCAAACAGGTCAACTACGACAAGCTCCCCCGCTTCCTCAAGTTCAAGAATGCTAGACAGAAGGCTTTCCAGCTCAATCTCAGACGAGGGCACAATATGATGAAGCGAACTGTCATCGAGAACAAAATAAGCGTCATTTTTGGTAAGAATTTGTAGCGAAACTTAGCATAAATTGCATATTCGAGATGGCCTCTAAGTTCTAGTGAATGACAAAATTAGTCTGGTCAGTTGTGGACAATACGAGCCAATCACTTGCAATTCATAGTAGAGGGCTGAAAAATCACCCTTTTGGCCACGCCCTTTTGTGTAAAATTGTTAGATATAGTTGTATCGGCGTCTGGACATCGTAATGCCTTTCAATAGGCTCAAACTGATTCATAACTTGTGTATAATAAATGCGTTCAATCCGGTTATAGTTTAGACACATCCAACATCCTAACATGTTTCTATTATATCAACACTGATAACATCTGCTTATCTACTGACTAACTAAATCATTTGATTTTAACATACGTCTCTTACCCCTTTTCGCCGTCCACAAATACTCTAAACATATATTTTAATGTGTATGAAAGCCTCTAAAATTTGGCAGCTGACTGGTTAAAACACCTATTTCCCCAGGTAAAGACACTCCGGAACACTTCAAAAGCTTCAAAGAGTTTGAAACATTGTTTGTAGAACTAGCAGAGGATCACGGGTATGATTTGGGGATGGTAGACGATGTATTGAGCGTCATTAAGTACTGGAAAACAGACGAAGAGTTCACGAGACAGGTAGCGACAGACAGCAGCAGACAGATTTACAGTCAATGTCATATCTGTGTCTTCCTTTCCATAACACCAATACATTCTATTACTATTAACTATTACTATTCCTAGGAGTTAGCAGGAATCAACCCAGCTCGGATCATAAAGATCACCACTTTGCCGGACACGTGGGACAACATGTTGGACATGCCGGAGCATGTCATGGGGGAGGGGGTCTCGCTGCAGGTGCGTGAAAATCAATCATTGCTAGTTAAGTTAGAATTTCGCCGTGAAATACCTCATCGAGTATTGCCTACTTATACTTATAGTAAAATAAGTAAGGTCGATGTGATGATTAGACTGTAAAGCCAGCAGCTGCTCGTAATGCTGAATTCACACCTTTTTACTTTCAACCGTCCGAGACTGCCCAGTTGCAAGACTGGTTATGCCAGTATTTACTAAATTATCTTGTAAATATTTTAACAATATATTATGAATAACGGTTACGACGAGACAAATGCATAATTTTGAACACCATGGGAACAGTTTTACCTTAAACATCTGACAGGCATAAGCAATAATTTCTGAATTATAAGAATTGACAGCCAAAACGGAGATTAGGAAACGTTTAAGCAATCAAGTACGACTAATAAAAGTAGACGCATAAAAACCGTTGAAATGAAAAATTTTACCTCAGTTTTGAATAGCTAGTGCTTTAAAAAAACTTAGTTTAACAAAAGCACTACCTGACTATCTTTTGGGGAAGAATTTTCTTTTCTTTAAAGATTGGAGCTCCCAATCTTGATGATCTAGATCTGAACTGAACTGCCAAAGAAAGCCCGCTTTTGTTTCCAAATAAATTCTGAAACGTATTATTTCCACTCAGTCATTATTTATTTTACAGACTGGTTTAGTGTTTCTTTGTGTCTGCAGGAAGTGATGACTGGTTTACGATTCAAAAACAAAATTAACATTTCGGTTGTTTCTTCTCTTTCAAAGGATAGTTTTTGCTCAATTTAGTCTATACCAATAAACCATGCTCATTTCTCTTAGACTTTTCCCATATAATTGGAAAATTATGTCATTTCCTCAACATTACGTCTTTATTCAGTCGTCATCATCACGTAGATACTTCCAGATACACTTCACTTCAAATACTGTCACCAGAGATTCACGGTTCCATCTTTCATCTCGCCGAAATCAGATTATCCATGTTGCTTCGTATTTTGTCAACAAATCAACAGCTATAACTGTCGTAAAGTCTTATGTGCTACAAGAACTGCGCCTCATATACGAAATTGATTAGATTTTATATTCCTGTTTTTTGTTTTTTTATTTTTCGGTTTGGCCTTTATAAGAAGCTTCTCATGTTTGGTAAGATGCTTGCAAAACTCGTCTAACAGAGACGCTTTGATGGTCAATCAATTGTATTCAATTCCTAACGCACGTCTACTATATTATTATGGTTTAGTTTAAATCGTAACTTGTTCTGCTTGATAAATGTCCCACTCGAGGGGTTGTTGTTAGTAGAGGATCTTTTTTAACTATGGTATTATTTTTTATTTAGTGGAACCTTCTGGGTTGAGCGAAATGGTCTAATGGTAATTTCGCTTTTCGTAAAAACAAATCGCACGGGTCCAAGTGGCCATCTATGAATATTGTGCGCCTGAACGGAGATATAGCTAAAATGCAAGCGTGAGGACCATCATTTCCTGAAGACAACATTCGGAAGGACAGTTCACTACACGAGCATGACAAGCTCCATATTGAAAATATAACTTGTCATGAATGAAATAAATATTTGTTAATAGCACAAACGTCGTGCTATTCTGAAAATCCTAAGTCTCGAAACACCAACCTTAGCATCCGTCCCGAGTGTTCAGCATTGTAATGTACAGGAGAAATGTAGAATAATTAATTATTTATTTCAAAAGACAGAGAGTAAAAGTAAAACCAGGGTGTTTACAAATACAGGCGGAATGTGTGTGAATGTTTAGTAGGCGGAAGATCAAAGACTCACAACTAAATTATTCAACACATATTGTTCCAATGGTCAATGGTCATGAGCTACCTAATGGACCTTTATTTAAGAGAACTTTACTATTATACTTACTATACTATACTATATGTATTATGAGAACGGTGGCATTAAGTGTGGGACATGTAGTAATTTTGGTTTGAGTATCCTACCTATTATGATGTTAATACTTCAAGAAAATCAGCCTGGAGCATTGAAGGATAACTTATCATTTAATTCTTTGAAGTACCGAATGTAGGTTTATTCCAAGAACTCTATGATAAGCATGATATGGATCTAGTACTTGACATCTGTTTTAAGGTGCTTAGTGCTTAGTTATCTGTCAATTTATTAGTAGAAACGTAGAAACGTAGATAGTAGATAATTAGTAGATACGTCATTAACAATACAAGTTTTAATATGCTTTTTATGCTTTTTAATCAGTTTTATGGGTGGATCGGACGGGTGCTTGAATACCCTGAAGGCTCTACGGAAAATAATAGTTGAATTAGCGCCAACTGTTCGGTCTATTTTTTCCATGAGGTCATAAAACAGGAATTGAGTCAATTGACTTATGACACGTATTGCAAAGGACTTAGCGCAGTTACAGTCATTTAATTAGAAGTTTGAAAATAATCTTCTTCGATAATAATAAGTAATATTATGATAGATTATTATTTAATAATATATTACTTAATAATAAGTAATATCATGATATCGCCAAAGAATTGCTAAATATGTATAATTTATATCATGTAGACTGTAGAGTAATTTGCTCGTAATTTCTGTTTTAAAGGTTTGACTGAACCGGTATAGGTATAAAACCACTTTCTTTACCTTAATGGTTACGAGAAACTTTAACCTTCAGCCACGTTATACTACACAGTCTTATACAGAACCATAACTTGTCAGACAGGAATTTGACACTACAGTTTCACCTACACTCCTCAGACTACACTGTCCTAAAACAATCAATATCTTTGGTGGTAAATTTAATTCGAACTTCATTACTAATGATTAAATGATAGACGAAGGGCTTTTGCACTAACTTCTGATAATAATGGATGGTTGTCGACCCAATTCTTCTTCAAATTTAATCACAAAAGGAGGTCATTTTCTCTGCGTCACCTCGCCTGTTTCTCACCTCGCCTGTTTCTCAACCTCCTCTTCGGCCTTCTCAACCTTGCTTCAACAACCTCTCACCTCTGTTAAAATCACATGTCATTCACAATTAGCTTATATAGTTTAGTGTAGTGTAGCCTATATAGTGTAGTGAAGTGTAGTGTAGTGTAGTGTAGTGTAGTGTAGTGTAGTGTAGTGTAGTGTAGTGTAGTGTAGTGTAGTGTAGTGTAGTGTAGTGTAGTGTAGCCTATATAGTGTAGTGTAGTGTAGTGTAGTGTAGTGTAGTGTAGTGTAGTGTAGTGTAGTGTAGTGTAGTGTAGTGTAGTGTAGTGTAGTGTAGTGTAGTGTAGTGTAGTGTAGTGTAGTGTAGTGTAGTGTAGTGTAGTGTAGTGTAGTGTAGTGTAGTGTAGTGTAGTTTAGTTTAGTGCCGGGTGAGTTCGAACTTCTGGCGTTGAGATTAGGACCTCTAAGATTTGTTTTACCATGTTTTGACCATGTTTTGTAGACAGTTTTCAGCTGCAGCTGGGAATGTGGTCGTTAAGACGTTAACGTACGTTAAAATGTGTGCTACAAATGGTCTTGGCAAATACAGGGATGCAAGTCATTGTTCTTTATTTTAGATGCGATTTGACAAGTATATTTCAAACTACGATTTTTGCTTTATACGTAAGATTTAGGAATTTTCATAAAATTACTAGTACTTTATTTATTAAACCACCGACTGAATATAAGCTGGTTGCCAAATAAAACCCAGAAATACAAATTTGAACCATACATTTCCTCTTATCAGTATTAATGATTGATCCTTATCGCTCCCTATAAGTAATATTATTCTGCAACTTGGCTTCCTTCATTAACTTTCTAATACCACAAATTCCAGCAATAATAAGCCGCTACAATAAATCCCGGTATTTGCACGAGCTAATTCATGTTACAAGTGACACTGTGACAGGGTGATGCCAGGATCTACACGATAGTCTCCTAGCAATATGGCTCTATTGCACCTTACTATCATTAGGTTCCCCACCGAACTTGTCTTTGTTTGCCGACAAAAAAGTAACATGCTTGGAAGTACTTAAAGGAATCTAGTCGACTAATGAGCAGTGATATTTGTCAATAAATAGCGAAGTATTAGTTTGCTTTTACCTTTTGTGTTTATAGCATGCCGAAAAGTTAAGTTTCGGAAACCTAAACAATTCTTTCGCAATGGACGTTTCTGTTTTATCTGGATTCAAAATTAAAGTTAACGTTAACTGTCTCTTTTACTATGTATTTTCGTTACTGTGCGTGACTAGTCCAGTCTAGAAAATAACAAACTAAACCGGTGCAGGGAGGGTGATGGCTTACAGCTGTTATTTTCATCAGGCTCCGTGGTGGTATAATTAGCAGTTTAGCGAATCTTTTAAAAAAAATTAATCATATAAACTAACGAACTCCGTGATTAAGTGCAGCTGTGGGTGACTATTTCTCCGCTAGGTCTTCTTTTCTGGGAATTTGCTGGAAAGTTCGTCTTAAAGTTCCAATTGAGGGAACATGTGCGTTCGTCATAGGGTAATTTATTTGCAACGTCTCTAAAATCAGAGAAATCAGGTACACATCCCTTTAAATAACCTCCCTTATCTTTCTTGTCCTCACAATGTCAATATGCGACCTTGCCTAATCACAATGTCTTGCCCTCACAATGTCAATATGTGACCTTGCCTTATCACAATGTCTTGCCCTCACAATGTCAATGTGTGACCCTGCCTAATCACAATGTCTTGCCCTCACAATGTCAATATGCGACCTTGCCTAATCACAATGTCTTGCCCTCACAATGTCAATGTGTGACCCTGCCTAATCACAATGTCTTGCCCTCACAATGTCAATATGTGACCTTGCCTTATCACAATGTCGTGCCCTCACAATGTCAATATGTGACCCTGCCTAATCACAATGTCTTGCCCTCACAATGTCAATATGTGACCTTGCCTTATCACAATATCGTGCCCTCACAATGTCATTATGTGACCCTGCCTAATCACAATGTCGTGCCCTCACAATGTCAATATGTGACCCTGCCTAATCACAATGTCGTGCCCTCACAATATCAATATGCGACCTTGCC